AACCCACATATTTTTTTTTTTTTTTTTTTTTTTTTTTTTTTTTTTTTTTTTTTTCTGTTTAGTCGTTTATTATTTAAAAAAAAAAAAAAAAAAAGGTCAGTTCATTCATTAGCTGCTGTTTCAGTTTCAAAAAAATAAAAACATAGAGAGAGAGGGAGAAGGAGAGAGAAGTGCTATTTGTGAAAGTTGCTGCTGTTCCTATTGTGTTGCTGTTCTAAAAACACTCCAAACCAATTAAACGCTAGTATCCAAACATATCCAAAATAACAGCCCAATTCGTAATAAACTAGCCTTAAATCAGCTAACCAAAACTCAACAAACAACTGATGATCCATTAGCCCATTAAACCATCAACCTAAAGTAAGAAAAGCAGGCTCAATCAATAAATTTAGCCTACCTATACCCACACACATACATCTAGCCCCGTTTGATCTCCATTTTTGTCCCCAAAATGCATTTTGCACGTCCAATCATGGTGGGACCTGTTGCGTGTGTCATCCCTCGGGGCATAATCCAGTGGTGTAAATGACAGGAGTGAGATAGTTTCAATCTTGCTGGTACCCGTAGTGTGAGGGTTCGATTCCTGATATGTGGAATATGACTCTTTGTAGATACCAGTGTACAGGTAAGCTCTTGTTCCCTGGTCTGTTGGGGCACATCTCTCGATTTACCTTCCTCACGATGCTCTAAGGGTGGGGTGATGGGCCCTCAAGGTTGGGGTTCAATATTTTTAGTTTTTATTTTCTAACATATTTTGATTTTGCCCTTATTCAATTGTATCAAAACTTACCATGCAATAGCCCTTTTTGGAAGGGCAATTATGGAAAAGTGGATGGGAAAGTGCAACATATGGTACACCAAGGTGGACCTGGGTTGGTTGGCAGAATATAATACGAGTAACACTCACAATTTTCATTCCACAGCTAGAAAAAGATGGAGCAATAGACGCCTAATACCCTGCCCATACTAGAGGAAATTTAATCAATGCTCACTGAACTTTAGAATACATTACTATTGACTCATCAAACATTATAATATAACTCATTGCTCACCCAACTATCCAATTTCTTACCCATTCATCACCCAACTGATCTCCCTCATCCTAGACTAACGGAATGTGCCACGTGGAGGATGGAAATCCCACGTGGCACCTAAATCAAACGTGAAATAAAAAAAACTCAATTGAAAATTAGAAACCCTACCGGTATGGATTTACAGGTGAAATCCTAACTCTACCTCCCTTACATTTTCCACCAAATGACCAACCAAAACCACAAAAATGGTAATAATCTAATGTGTTGCTTCCACCAATTTCTCATTGTTCTTCTTGCCTCCCGTGAAGAATCTGTACCCTCGAAAGAAAAGCAAACACCAGCTAGATAAGGAGACATTCACGAAGTGCTTTTCCTTCCTCTTGGATGGACTCATGGGGTCTTTCCAGAAATCAACCTTAGGTGGCACATGATGATCAGCGGCGCCAGTGAGGCCACGACGAGGAATCATAGAGGAAGACCGAGCAAAGGTTGCAACCAACGAAGTAGCCATGGCTTTGTGCTTTTTCTTTCCAAGATTGAACGTGCGTCAAGCAATTCCAACTTTCATTTTCTTGCCAAAATGCACCCATGAATGAAGCATCCCAAATTGAAACCCAAATTCGCCCCCAAATCAGTGATGAACCCTAAAAAATTGCCCCCAAATTTGCCTCCAAATCTGTTGCACTTACTAGGCTGTATTCAGGGTCCAAGAACTGTAGGAAGAAGATGAAGGCCCGGGAGTGGCTTTCTACACTATTGGCCCATTTCATGTGCGATGTGTCACATTGGTAGATTCCGTTAGTTTAAAGTGACGAAAATCAGATAAGTGATCAACGAGTAAACAATTTGATAGATGAGTGAGCAATGAGTAATGTTTTAATGTTTAGTGAGCAAGTAGTAATGTAATATAAAGTTCAATGAGCATTCATTAATTTTACTCCCCAAAATAAAAAATAAAAAATAAAAAATAATGAGAAAAAGATAAAATTCATAATTAAGAGGTTAAGTATCACCATGTTGTATGTGACTCATATAAAGTGGAATACAGGTTCCTGGATCAAATGGACCAATGCCAGAGCGAAGCGACGACATCAGCCTTACGCGAGTTTAATTTACTGTTTGGTTACTAGAGACAATGAATGGGTTGGCGGTACGGTACATAGGTAATTTCTTGTACGGGCCATAAAGTCTTTATGGGCTTAGGTTAAGGTTAGTAAAATAATAATATTGTAACTTTATTTTTCATATTGAATAATATTATTTTCGCTTCGATCTCGTGAATGTAGGCACACCGTCAAACCACGTAAATTCTTATGATGATTTCTCTATTTCATATTTTTATTATTGCGCATAAAATACGACACACCCATTTCAAAACGAAGAAGATGAATGATTTTTTTTTGTTTTGATTTTTAATTATATATTTGTGATTAATTCGAAAATTTTTGAAAATTTGGAACTACTGTTGTAATTAGTTGTTTATCCTTTCATTTCATTTTTG